TCCAAGTGAAGGACACACGTATGGTGTGTCAGTATCCTCATATAGCACTCAGCTCTTATCTGTAACTTCCTAGAGTCCTGATCAGTACAGTGACTACACCAGAGTAACCGTTTCGACTGGTGCGCTCAACCGAGTGAGGAATAGTCATTGCCTCCTGTTAGGGCAAGCCTAACGAACAGTCTAACAGACAGATAGCATGCAAGCGCGAGGCGCGCTCACGTCAGGCTATCGATCGGCCTACAGGCGGCGAAGCATACTGACAGACAGTCAATCAATACTTTAAAATTCAAGCTACAGTCAGCCGTTAGTCACCAGCCAATCGTACCAGCGCCTACGCCAGGAGAGAAGCTGATTGGCTCGATGGACATTGAGTTACACGCGTTTGTTGTCCTAAATACGTTGTACCCATTAGACTCAAAGACTTCTGCTGTTGCGCTCTTCTTGTTGTGTTCTTCCTTTGGGGACTCACACAAGGCGTAATTGGGCGGTGACACTTCGGCATTGGCTACCGTTATAACACCTCCCCACCCCCATCCAAGCGAATTTCTTTGTAAATAGACTGAACTGTAGATAGAACAGGAACCAGCCACTTAGTGGAACATGCAAATGATGCCTACAGAAAGTCCGTCACCACGTCCAGTTGGTCTGCTAGTTATAGTGCTGTAATCTTGCCACAGAATCACCATGAGACTGAAATGGGAAGGAGGTGCATACAACGCAAGTCCTAATTACCCTACTTTCACGTGCCGACTGTATTCGCCATAATCATCTCAATCAACACCAATATCGCCAATTCCCGAATGACAGTTTCGGTCAACGCAGTAAACTGCTCCTACGGCAGGACATCGAGATAACAGCGTGAGTTAGTACTTTTTCGCGCTGTAAACGCCCGTGTCGCCAACAAAAAGTGCGGGCAAACTACGAAGAGGGGAGTTAACCATCGCTCGTGCCTCAAGGCTACATCGTTGCCCTACTCTGTATGCAAGCTAACGGCAGCCTCATCGCCACGTCATTTGCCAACTCAGAGCAGTAGCCATGGCATCATTTGCTCCCATGGGCGTGGTTCCGAAGGGGTGGATGACTCAGCATCACGTGTGCCAGAGTTCTTCGGCATTGGCAAGCGCACGCATATGCATTGGACACGGGGTCTACTGCTATTGCAATTGGCAGG